TGGTGGGTTTGGGGGGCAGTGAGGAGGCCAAGGCAAACAAAGGGATCTACCAGTATGCGGGCGAGGGCATTAAATGCCAGCAGTGGAATTTGGAAAGTCCTGGGGAGCTATTTGTTGGTCTTGTCTGTCAATCGGTAACCTCTAAGGTGTGAGAAACCACCAGCAACCCCTGACCTGACACACACACACCCCTGGGTGGATGAGGGGCAAGCCCAAGTCCAAGCCTGCTGGCAGCAGCCCTTCCCACACCTTGGCTGGGTGTTTGGTTATTTGGGGAGAAGTCCGGGGTAAGATAGGGTGTGAGGTGGATGCCTGACCCCCAGTGGTGGTCCCCTGGAACTGCAAATCAGTGGACTTCAACCTGGACAGTGGGCACTGATCCCCACCCCTCACCTGGGGCTGGATAGGAGGGAGGGCTCCCCCTGGGGTCAGTCCCCCCAGACTGGGCCTCCTGGTGGGCAGGCTTCCTATGAAGGGAGCCAAGGTGGTGTGGGGGCATAGAGTGCAGGCTCAGAGGCAGACTGGGTTAGACCCAGCCTTTGCACCTGTCGTGTGCGACAGTGGCACTGCGTGGCTGTGGCGTTTTGTGAAAACTCAGTGTGACAGCGTCTCGGAGCACAGGGCAGCTTATCTAGCACACAGCGAGCGCTCACTGTCAGCCAGCAGTGGTCGTGATGGTGAGGTCAATGCAGAGGCCTGACTTGTGGCTCACTGGCCCTGCAGACCACACACACACACCCACAGGGAGGGGGTGCTCCCGCAGAGCTGGGGGTGGGGGATGGGTGGCTCCAGTGGAGGGCTCAGGTTTCCCTCTGGCCCCTGCTGCTCCATCTGCTCAGTCACAGTTCCTGAGGTGCAGACAGGACTTCAGCATCTCTTGGATAAGGTCCCAGCCAGGAGGAGAAGAGCACAGTCCCCCCTCCTCTCCCAGGAGCCTGGGTCTCTTGGTCCACAGGCAAGTTCCCTCCCCAGAGGATCATGAACAGGCTAAATGGCCTTTCTCCTGCCCAAGCTCCAACACCTCATCTCCCTCCCTTGGGCCTCAGTTTCACTGTCTGTGGCCTGTGGGAAGAGAGTGCTTCCCACCTCACTGTCTCCATGGCAACTGGATCGATGTTGGCAGTGTCCTCCTGCTCCAAGAGAGGTCACCGCTTCTCCCCGCTATCTCCTCGTGTGGCTCCATGCCGACCCAGGTGCACACCCACAGACCCACACCCCAAATCCTATGGCTCCTCCATGCCCACCAACCAATGTCCCGACCCACACCCTGCAGCCCTGCTGGACCACAGGCACCTCAGCCCTGCACACGGCAAGGTACTCCGGCCCCTCCCACTCACCGCAGACACCCAGGGACACAAGGGCGGAAAGGCATGGCCGTCCACACCACACACACCTGTGCGACAGGTAGACGCACACAGAGACACATGTGTGTCCTCCCACACTGACACTCAGGAATACTCTCGCGGGGAACACCGAGACCCTCAGTGCGTTCTGCCCCGTTCACCACCGACTGACAAAGGTGCCCATTGCATAGTCGCACCCAGCGGCGTCCACCCTGCCCTTCCCTGCCTTCTCACCAACCACAGCTCCTCTCTCCACTCCCCCTCCCCACCTTTGGCACAGAGGAGCCACAGGCAGCCCTCCTGGGGACAGAGATGGGTCACCACCTCCATCCTCTGGCCCCGGGCCTCTCCTGGCCTGTCCCCCCAGCCTTCCGGCCAGAGGTTCCCAGGGAGGTGCCAGCGCAGAGGCTGAGGTGGCCGCACAAAGAGGAAGAGGCTGCGGCTGTGGCTGTGAGCTTGTGGGGCAGAGGCGGGGTGAGAGGGGAGAGGGAGGAGATGCAGGGAGGGAGAGAGGAGGGAGGCTGCGGGCGTCCTGCTTGGGCTGAGGGGAGGTGGAGAGAGGCGGCGGCCATGCCCTGGGCCCATCATGAACCTGGAAGGGCTGGAGATGGTCGCTGTGCTTGTGGTCCTCGCTCTGTTTGTCAAGGTCCTGGAGCAGTTCGGCCTCTTTGAGCCTGTCTCCTTGGAAGGTAACCCAGGTGTCTGGGCAGGTCTGGGCAGGTCCGAGCTGCTGGCCAGAGGGAGGGCCGCCGCGGCAGCACCCGGGAGGGGAGGGCTCTGTCTCCTGGGGGCAGGGGGAGCAGCTGGGGAGGTGAGGAAGGGTGTCCTGCGGCCAGGGCATCTGAGAGAGAAAAAAAGGGCCATCAAGGCAGGAGGGACTGGGGGCAGGACCTCTGGGGGGTGATGAGGGGTGCAGCCGAGGATCTGGGAGATCAGGAGGGGGGTTCCAAGGAGCCTGAGCCCCAGATTTCTGGGGGCCCCCAGTGGCTCTGAGAGGTGCGGGAATCTGCGCGCCTCCAGCCAGGCAGGTGTAGGTTACAGAGTGTATGGGACATGGTGTGACTGTGTTCATGTGGGCGTGTGAGCCTGCTACTGTGACAGGGAGGTGACTGCATGTGTCAGAGTGACAGGCGTGTGGTTTTGTGAGACGGTGCATGTGATCAAGCCCAAGCAGGACAGGATCTGTGGCTGTTCCCAGGTTCCCCAAGGATATAGCAGCTCCATACCCGAGGCTTGGGATGGAGGCAGGTCCTGGAGGGACAGGAGCGGGAACCTCAGAAATGAACGTTCACAGCTCAGCGCCGGCTGGGGAGTGTGGCGGGGTCAGATCAGGGACCCTGCTCCCCAAGCCTCTGCATCCCCGCTGCCTCTGCCACCTCCCCTCAGGATCCAGAGTCTGAATGTGAGTGGAAACCAGATCCCCATCCCGCTCCAAAGTCAGTAGGGGAAGCCACACCACGTCGGAGGCAGAGAGGGGAGCACCTCTGTCTCTCCCTGCAGAGCTGTGGCCTTGCCCTCCTCTTCAAAACAAGAACTGCAGGGCTCCGGGACATGGCTGTGGCCAGGCTGTGCCAGGGACAGGACAGCAGGCAAGAACCAGGACAAGGGGCTGCAGGTAGACACCTAGGAGAACTGGGAAGATGTGAAGGAAGCTGAGCACACGAGGAAGACCCATGATTGCCTGCTCAGGGCTTAGTGAGAGCAGAAAACTCCCAGCCCACCCTCTTATCTCCTGCTGTGTTATTGGGGTTGTATGTGGGAGCTGGAACTGGGGAGCCTGAGCTGAGTTTGTTCTCATCCAATCTGGAAAAGATAGTCTGTTGGGCTCTAACTTGCCATCCCCTTTAGACTGGTAGGAAGAGGGGCCATCCATGACCCCTGACATCCTGTAGGCTAAAGGCAGCTCCTTTCTCTTCCCACCTTCAGAGTAGCTTAGAGGAGAGAGTGAGGCTTGGGAGTAGGCAGGGGACTTGTGGTGGCAGGAGGAGGGGAGAACAGCGGGGCGGGGGTGGGGGCTGCCCCCAGCCAGGCAACTACACCATCAGAGGCCCCAAGTGCAATCCGGCTTCGGGAAACCAAAGTCCAGGCTAATGGAGCCCTGGGCCAGGGGCCAGGCCACCATCGATCCCCTGCCCAGCCCACCTCCTCCCTCCCACCTCTCCATAGCTCCTGGGATGGAGTGGGAGGAGGTGAGGCTGTGTTAGAAGAGAGGGGATGGTACCTCCTGCAGTTACCTCCTGGGAGAAGGGCCTGGCTCAGGAGGATGAGGTGTGAGGGAAAGTTGGGGTGAGAGAGTAACCTATAACTAAAGGGAGTTAGGCCTCTCCAGGAATGGACTGAGGCCAACTTTAGCCAGTGGTGTCGGGTCCACTGGGCTCTGGCCCAGGACTCTGGAAGTGTTCGGTGGTTGTGGTTGCAAGGCACATGGACACACAGACACACACAGTCACAGACACACACAGAGACACACAGATACACACACAGATAGACACACACAGACACGCACACAGACACACACAGACACAGACACACACACACACACAGACACACACACACAGACACACACACACAGGAACTCTGAGGGACTCTCTGGGATGCAACTACAGCTGTAGAATGAGCAGAAATAAGGAGAGGGGAGGGGGCTGTGGTCATCGGGACCCGGATAGCCCCATAGTGCGCCAGAATATTTGTCTCCAAGATCAGTCTGCTACCATTTCACCTTCAAAGAACAAGCCATCCGGGAAGGACAGAGCAAGGACCATGCCTTCAGGGTAGACGAGGTAGCTGGTGATGGACCCTGCTCCTCGGGCAGGGAGATTGCGGGTGCCTTGGAATGAGGGGTTGCAGGAAAGAAATGTGGATGTACCCAGAGCGGATGAAGCCTCTGGGTGAGGAGCTGCCTTTGGTATTTGGATGCTGTGGGGACCTAGGTCGCAGTAAGATATGGTGTGCAGCATGGTTACCTTGATGTGTGTCCTGATGTCCCTGGGTCATCGTGCATTGTGTAGTCTGTGTACATGAGAGGGTGCACGTGGGTCTCCAATGTCATGTCATGTTTTACTTCCGTCACGTTTGTACATGCTTGTGTTCAGGAATACTAGGTCAAAGTGTGTGCGTGTGTGTGCGAGTGTGTGCATGCTCAGTAGGCTACCAGGTGTGAGTTACTGGCTATCAAGCTGTCACAGGCATCTGTCCCTCTGTGATTTCTCATTCTGTGTGTCGCTGTACATCCCTGCCACCCTGTGTGTGTGGGTGTGGGTGGGAGTGGGGGGGTTACTACCCAGGCTACCTTAGGATTGGACATCATCCTGAGAGCCCAGCACATTCCAACCACTCTAACCAGCACAAACATTGCCACCTCCCCCTTGCCTCCTGGCTGTTGCCAGCCTCATCCCATTGGACAAAGTGCCCACACCCCGCCTCCGTAGCCTTCCCATGCCCGTGAGACCCACTGTGCTTCCCAGCCTGGGCCGCCTCCCCTCCTGATGCCCCCACCCCGCCCTCAGCCCCTCACCATTCCTTCTTTCCCACCCCACCCTCTTCCTTCCCAGCCCAGCTCCCAGCGGGCGGGCGCGGTTGTTTAACAGGCGGGGAGGGACAAGCAACAGAAGCACAGCGGGAGTTAATCTGCCCTCCTGGGGTCTTCTCTCTCCCTAGGCCACCCTCCGGGGCCCACTAAAAAAGCGCTGAAGCAGCGGTTCCTCAAGCTGCTGCCGTGCTGCGGGCCCCAAGTCCTGCCCTCAGTCAGTGAAAGCAAGTGCCTCTCCTGTGCTTCCGGGGCGGGGCCGAATGCGTGTGGGCGTGCCCGGCGTGGCGGGGGGGGGGGCAGGACAAGAGCGTGTGGGCGTGGCCAGTGAGCCGGGGTGGACCTGCGTGTGGGCGTGGCCAGTGAGCCGGGGCGGGCCTGGAGTTTGAGGGAGTGACCGGTGTGTGTGGCGGGGCAGACCTGCGCGTGTGTGGGCGTGACCAGCGTGGAGAGAGTCGGGTGGGCGCAGGCCGGGCCCAACAGCAGCGCAGACCCTGTGTGCAGATGAAGCCCCTGTGTGTGGATGTGGTCGCTGAGTGCCTGCGGGCGTCACCGGCCTGCGACACCGGGCGTGGCCAGTGTGGAGGGCGAGGGTCCAGGAGACCCGCTGTGTGTGAGGGTGTGCGGGTGGCTGAGCCGCGGTGGAGCGCCTGCGACTCTCTGTAGACGCTCCGCCCTTGGATATGTTTTGGACCTCGCGATGTTTGTCGCGCGTGCCCCGAGGAGTAGGACGCAGGTGTAGGGCATGGAGCCCGCCTTCCTCCAGCCTCCAGGGTCCGTGGGCGTCCTGCCCCAGCCTGGTCCCCAGCCGAGTGACCTGGAGCCGAGCGCGGCCTCCGTTTCCTCAGCTGGCAAGCCTCACGGAATTGTGTTGCGTTTGGAGAGCTGTCAGGGCCCGTTTTGTAGAGATCTGAGCGTGTCTTTGGGTTTGACTCCGATGGGTCCCACAAGCGGGTAGATTCGGAAAAAGGGGAGTGAGTCCCGCAAGCAAGTGTGCGTGGGATCCGTTTCGTGTGAGTGCGGGGTAGGGGGCGTGCGTTGAAACACGCAGGTCTGTGCGACTCGCTGTGCGTGTGCGGGGCGGGGTGTGTGTCTGCAGTCTTCCGCTTTCTCGGTGACAGTTCGCTCCCTTCAGCATTAGCCGCCCCAGCCTCCCTCCGCCCCCACAGACCCCGCCCGCTGGACCCAGGTGACTTACGGTCCCGGGGGGAGGGGCACTTGCCTGGGGGTGGGGCTTGGCTGGAGCTGGGCGGGGCATGGCTCGGGCATGGCCGGGGCGGGCGGGGCCTGACTGGGGAGGGGAGGGCCTGGGCGGGGCAAGGCCAGGGCTGGATGGACCTGAGTTAGTCCAGGAAGGCGTGGAGCTGCGACCCGCGGACGCCAGTTCTCGAACCCTGTTTTCTGGAACGAAGATGCGGCTGGGGGGCCTTCCCTGCCTCCAGGGTTCAAGGGCCCAGGAGCGCGCGCTGAGTCGGATCGCTGGCCCTGAAGCCAGGTCTGGCGTTGGACTGCTGATAGACCTGGAAGCTGACCAGCGTCTTCTCTCCTTCCCTTGATGTCCTCGGCTCAGGGTCCGGGGAACCGGCAGGCAGAGATGGGATGGGGGTGGTGTGTGGGTCGGCGATTTGGAAAGGGGGGCCGGAGGGGCTGGGCCTGAGGCTCGGCTGTCCCCCCAACCGCTCCCCGCAGACAGCGTGGAGGATGAATTTGAACTGTCCACTGTGTGTCACCGGCCCGAGGGTCTGGAACAACTGCAGGAGCAAACCAAGTTCCACCAAGGAGTCAGGTCTGTACGGAGCTCAAGACCTAGTAAGGGAGCTGAGGCCGGGGCTACCTGGGTTTGCACCGGCCCAGAAGCATTGGGCAGGCGGTGGATGCCTAAGCCAGCCCGTAGCTTCCCCCCCGATTTAGTTCCATGTTTTTCACGTGTGCACTGGGGAGGAAGTCTTACCCCCTGGCCAAAACCCCCCCCCCCCCCCAAATCATGAATGCTTCCCCTGTTCTGACCACTGCCGGGTGGGGGTGGGGAGGGGCGGCGGCGGGAGGGGCTTAGTCTCTGCCCTCAGCCTGGTCCTCCTGCAGGAGTGTCCCAGCGGAATCGTCAATGAGGAGAACTTCAAGCAGATTTACTCCCAGTTCTTTCCTCAAGGAGGTGAGGGAAACAGCTGAGTGGGGGAGCTGGGGTGCTGCGGGGCAGGGGGCTCTGCAGAGGCAAGAGCACCCCCACGCCCTGTGTGGAGCCCAGCTGATTAGCCTCGCGCGGCCCGCAGACTCCAGCACCTACGCTACTTTTCTCTTCAATGCCTTTGACACCAACCACGACGGCTCCGTCAGCTTCGAGGTGAGCAGGGGAGGCGGGCCAGCGAAGCTCGCTTTCTGGGGTTTCCGGGCCAAATCCAGGGTGGAGTAAGGGGTTCCTGAAGACACGGTTCCCCTCTGCCTCCTTCTTAGGACTTTGTGGCTGGCTTGTCGGTGATTCTTCGGGGAACGGTAGATGACAGACTGAATTGGGCCTTCAACTTGTATGACCTCAACAAGGACGGCTGCATCACTAAGGAGGTGCAGGGCAGCTGGGGGGCTGGGGCTGGAGGGTACGGGGTGCCAACGGCCACTGGAAGGAAGCTCGACCCCCGTGTGCATCACCAGCCGGGCTGAGGTCTGTCCTGGGCTGTAGGCCTCTCGGTTTGGAGGCTAGAGGCTCTGAGGAGGGCTCCCCTTCTCTCTGTCCCAACAGGAAATGCTCGACATCATGAAGTCCATCTATGACATGATGGGCAAGTACACGTACCCTGCACTCCGCGAGGAGGCCCCAAGGGAACATGTGGAGAGCTTCTTCCAGGTGCCCGGGGCTGGGTAGACTGGAGGGTCCTGGAGGGAAGGGAAGGGGGCCAGGAACCAACAGGGAACTTACCTGCATTCTGCCTGCCTCCCTCCTGTCATCCCTGCCTGGCCACCACCTCGCAGAAGATGGACAGAAACAAGGATGGAGTGGTGACCATTGAGGAATTCATTGAGTCTTGTCAAAAGGTACAGGCCCCTGCCCTCTTCATTCCCTGGCCTGGACTCAGGGCCCCGTTCAGTGATGTAGAACAGCCTCCTCCCATGCTTACTCCACACCCCAGTCCTGTTCCTTTATGATTGGGAGAGGCCTACCCCATCCCTGCCTCTGGGGTCTCCTTCCTCTCTGCCTCTGAACGTCCCCATCTCTGACTCAGAGTCCTTCTCCTTGGCTCTGACAAGCTCTTTCTCTTTCTTTCTGCAACCTGCCTCCCCTGCACCATGGCCACAGGACGAGAACATCATGAGGTCCATGCAGCTCTTTGACAATGTCATCTAGCTCCCCAGGAGAGGGGGTTAGTGCATCCCAGGGGACCACACTCCAGCCCTAGTCTAGGCAGACCTCACCTTCTCTCCCAGGTCTGTCCTCATCTTAGCCCTACTCTGAGAGCTGTAGGGATCCAAGAGTCTGGGGACTCCCTAGTCCAGATCCCTGGAGCAGAAAGGGCCAGACAGCGGGCAGAGTGCATCTAGGAGGTGTTCCCAGCTCCCAACAGCTTTGACCCCCTTCCTGCCTGACACCCAGTGCTGAGGGCACCCCTGCAGTAGGAATTGTTGCCACACCTCCCACCTTCACTCCAGAAATGTTCACACTAGCCAGAATGTCTCCTCCTATGGTGCTTCCCCCTCCCTGATTTCATAAACATTTCCCCTAAAATTCCCTACCCAGTGAGGATGCTCTGTTCTCCAGTACAGTAGCTGGCTTTTCAGACCAGCCTTTGAAAAGTCCTGTGAGAGGGGGAAAAGGATGTAGAGGAAGAAATGATGGCTCTGAGCTGCTGGTTAGGTCCTAGGAAGTGGCTGGGCAGGAACACAGGAAGGCCTGAGAAGACTGTGAGAGCTCAGGCGTGCCAGGCTGTAGCTCCGATTTCCACAGGTCTGCTATCCCCCCTCCATCAGAATGTGAGTTTCTAGGCTTTTTGGAAGATATCTCCTTGGAAACACTGCAGAAATTTTCCATTCCCTCCTAGTCTCCTAGGAGAGCCCGGGATCCAGTTATCTGCCACATCCCTAGAATTCTTTCCTCCCCACCCTCCTGCTTGTGTTGGTGGTGGGGGCAGCAGGAGAATGAGAATAGGGGTGGATGTCCTTGCTGACACCTGCCACACTTTCTGCCTGCCCGGCCTGCTCCTCAGCTGCTTTGATGGCTAAGGCTTGAGTCTGCATTTGCCACGTCCTCTAGATTTGGAGGTATGGAGTGAGTCAGGGACCTTCCCAAACCTCGGTCCTTTCGCTCTCCCAGCGGATGCCTTAGACGAGGGGAAGAGGGAGGCAGGAGGCAGGCATAGCATCTGAATGCAGGGTGGGGACTTCATTAGAATCTTTAAACAACCCAGGCTCGACTTAAACTACACACAGCCTCCTCGATTCCCTGGGGTCTCCCTTTTGCTCTGTTCAGTCTACCCAGAGATGTCCCTGAGCACAGATAGAGGGCAGGGACCACGTGGTTGCCAGCACCGCTGCCATGCTGCCACCCCTAATATACCTGCTTGTCCCATTTAGCTCCCAGTCAGCAGCATCTGAAGAGAAGGGCCCCAGGGGGCCCCCTTTCCATCAGAACACTGCTGACTGCTTTGCATTTTTGGCTCTTCTGTATATTTTGTAAAATAAGAAGTACACCAGATCCAATAAAACACAACGGCTATGCACAGGTTGCTGTCTCTGCCTTTTTGTCCCTCACACCCTACAAATACCACACAACCCCTAACTCGTGTACCTGCAGCCACAGTCTGGCCGCACCTCGGCAGGGGGCTGAGACATAGGTTCTGGAATGGCTGCAAACCCGCCTGGCCACAGGCCCTGCGTGAATCTCCCAGGTTCTGAGAGGAGACAAGGAGGAAGCATGGGACGGCAGTGTCCTGAAAACTGTGCCCAGCAAGCTGTGTTTTGGCTGACGTTCCTACAAGTTGAGTCAAGAGTTTCTGCTGTGCCGATTTAAGTTCATCTCAAAGAACTGTCTTTTTGGGGGCAGAGGGGGAATGTCCTCTTTAGTTTTTGATGAAAAATTCCTTTGTGTTAACGTCCCAGCCTTGGCTCCAGTATAGATGTACACTTGTGTCTGTGCCCCATCCAGCAACAATGGGGGGATCAGATGGAGTGGACCCAGGGCAGGTCATCATGAGGCATATGGCTGAAGGGTGACAGAGACTTCTGGTATGTTCCAGCCCTTTCTTTGTTCTGCTCCTGGACAGTCCCCCCTCCCCCATGATAGCCCTCCCATTCCTTCTCTGGGGACCCTTCCGTGGTGACTAAGCTTCACCGTCCAAAGGAGGAAAATGACGTCTCCTCCCCCACTGTAAACACTGACGAGGTCAACGGATGGGAATGGTGGCCAAGAAGAAAAACTCACTGCCAGCGTTCATTGTTTGGTCATCTGTGTTCGCTGCGAGTACCATCTCAGAACCATCTGCTGCTCAGGTCATCAGATTAGAGACTGGGTTAACGCTGTGGGCCCTATACAGAAGGGAGCTCTATCTGGGTCTCCCATGCAGGTGGCAAGTGCTCAGATACTCGAGCTACATCACCTGCTGCCTTCCTGGATGCCCATTAGCAAGAAACTGAATGGGGAAGGAGGGTAGCCAGGACTCAAACCAGGCATCGTGATATGAATGTGTGTGTCCCGGTGGCAGCTTCAATGTGCCGCACCACGATGCCTGGCCCTCATGTACTTTCATATCCTTGAAGCCCATGTATGAAGAGCTTGGGATCTACTGTAACCCCAGCCGTCATTTCACGGAAGAGGAAACAGACGCAGAGGAGGGAGAGGACTTGTGAGTTTGTGGCAGGACTGAAAATAAACCCAACCCCCCCTCTCTGTCAAGGGTGGCCTTGGGCCACAGGAGAGATCTGGGGGTGGAGGATGGAGACTGCATGTCGTGCAGAATCTATGTGAGATGACACCGTGACAGGCTGGCCTGCTCTCTGCTTTTCCTTGGGGCACTGCTCAGTGTGTAACCATGTGTTTATTTGGGTAATTAGTTGCCGTCTTCTCTAATACACTCTGAGGGCCCTTTGAGTGCTTGGGCTAGGTTTGTTTTTCCCTTGCCATCCTAGCCTGGGTAGGGGGGCTGACACTCAATAAAGAATGGTACCGGATAGATGAGCATGTGTATGTAACTGTGTCAGATATGGGGACAGTCTCCATTTTTAACAGTCTCCATTTTTTAATTTGTATTTAATTTGTATTTCATTTGAAAGGCAGGAGAGAGAGAGCGAGCGAGTGAGAGAGAGCGAGCGAGTGAGAGAGAGAGAGAGCGAGCGAGCTCTTACCTGTTGATTTACTCTTCAAATGTCTGTGACAGCCAGGGCTGGGCCACGCTGAAGCCAGCCAGGACCTGGGAACCAGGAACTCAACCTGGGTGCCTCCTGTGGGTGGCAGGGAGCAGGAAGCTGAAACCAGGAGTGATCACAGTCACTCTGCTATTGGATGCCAGTGCCCCAAGCAGCTTCTTTCCCACTACATCAAATGCTCACCCTAACAGTCTGTTTTTAGAATAAGATCCTAGTTTAGGGGAAGTTGAAGTCTGAAGCTGAGAATTGTTAGTGAGGTGAGAAATGCTCACAACTTGGACACACAGATGAGAAAAAGCCAGCAGGTTGGCATTCACATCATCTTAGCTTGGCCATTGGTCAGATTCTCTCGAAACTGACCAAAACCCAGGTGGTGTTAGTTGCCCAAAAACCCAGGTGGTGTTAGCAGCTCCATCTCAAAACATTGTCCTTTCTTGCCTTGCACTATTTCCTACTCTCCTGGGTTTCCTCCCACCTCCCTGGCCATGCCTTCCCAGCCCTCCCTTGCAGATTCATCCTTTTTAACTTCAATTCTAAATTTCGGGCCACTCATACCTAATTTCATGGCTTTAAACACCACCTACGTGGCCAGCACTGTGGTGCAGAAGGTTAAGGTGTGCCTGTGACACTGTCATCCTATATGGGCATCGGTTTGAGGCCTGGCTGCTCCACTTCTGATCCAGCTCCCTGCTAACGTGTCTGGGAAAGCAGCAGATGGCCCAGGGGTAAGACCTGGATGGAGTACAGGCTCTTGGTTTCAGCCTGGTCCAGCCCCAGCTGTTTTGGTCATTTGGGAAGTGAACCAGTGGATGGATGATCTCTCTGTCTCTCCCTTTCCATAACTTTGCTTTCAAAAAAAAAAAAAAAAAATGGCATACACAGCATCTAAATGCAGAGGTTCCTAAGTTTATATCCTCATAACTCTCCTCTGAGCTCTAATAACACCTATATACCCAATCACCATTTGACACATTCAGGTGGACCTGGAGCACTTAAAGTTAACATGTTAAAAATGGAGCCTGGGTGCAGGTCATGTGGTGCAGTGGGTTAAGCCACCACCTTTGATACTGGCAGCCCATATCAGTTTGAGTTATTGTTTCCTTCAATTAGAATCTAAATTCTGAGGGCAAGGTACTGTAATATTTGTCAGGAGCCTAGTCAGCACTGATTGCTACTGTAGCAACAGGTGGTAGGAGGAGGCGTGGCATGGAGAGTGTGTAGCAGCTGTGTGTCAAGAACTCCTCTTCAAGTTGGAGAAGCACAGATCTGAGCCTTTGATCTTGTCTGAGCCACAGGACTGTGGAGAGCAGATGACACTGTGACTGCTGATTTGGTGGCAGTTTGAGGTGTGACACAGAGAGAAATGTCACAAAACCAAGGGTTAGCATCGACTGGAAGGACAGCTCCCAAGTCCCCCACAGGCCCACAATACCCAGTGGAGCTGGTTATGGCCCCAGCTGTCATCACAAAAGGTCCCCTAACAAAATGTTTGGTCTGTGCTTGCTGAGGTAGCACTAAAAATTGGAATGATACAGGGAAGATGAACATGGCTCCTGCAGAAGAGTGACACGTTTGCGCAGTGTTCCATAAAAAATAAATAAAAGAAAAATAAAAAATCCTAACCCCTCTCTCAATAATCCAGAACCCAAAATGAAGCAGCGGAGTGCCTAGAGCTGCAAGTCGGGCTAGCAGTAGAGGAGTCAAACATCAGTTCAGGCCTGAGGTGGGCAATCCTAAGCCTGAATAACCGGAAGGGGATGTTCATTCACAGATCCAGGTGCAGCTCCCAGCTCCTGCCTTCCCCCCGGGCCAGCCCTGGGCTGTTGCAGGCATTTGAGGAGTGAACCAGGGGATGGAAGATCTCTCAAAAAGTGAAAAGAAATGAATAAAAAATTTAAAAACAGCTATGTAACCGAATTTAAGGGTAAAGTGCATTACGGCAGGGAGCCTGGGATACCAAGACCATCTAGCGCTCAGGGAAGGCTTCCTCAGGAAATGGCGTTGGTGCTGAAACTCAAGGGATCTCATGGCCCCTCGCACACTCCCTTCCCGCCTCGGACTCCGCCGTCGCCTGCAGTGCTGCCCCCACCCCGCGACCCCCCCGAAACTGGCTAACGTCTGCTCATCCTTTATGATCCAGCCAAGAAGAGAAGCTGTAGCCACCGCCTCGCCTCGGAGGAGTCAGTCACTAGCTCCTCTGAGCTGCCCAGCACTTGGGCACACAATGCGGAAACTGCTGTTCCCACCCCCGTACGGTGAGCTCACAGAGGCTCCGGAGCCCAGCAGGAGGCAAGCCCAGAGGGTGTCTGCTGCCTGCAGGGATGAACGAATGATTGCATTTTAAAAGGGGATTAGCGTCAGGGGGAGGGTGGGTGGCGGGAAATGGCTCAAGGCAGAGGGGTGAGCTGAGCTACTTGGAATGGTGTCTTCAAAGAACCGAGCCTGGGCCAGGGAGACGTAATGACCAACCTATGAGAAACTCCACAAGAACTAGGTCAGTTCCTTCCTCTTTAAGAACTAGAGGCTTCATTTCCGCGCCTGCGCATTGAAGAGTAAACACCTCTCTTTTCACCTACCTCCCCTCTCCCAATTGCCCCAACCGGCTACAGCCTCCTCCCATACTCCCCTTCTACGGGTGAGGCAATGGTCTGTCCCACGGTGCCAGGCTAGGTCTGGAGGGTGGCAAGCATAAGTGGTATATTCCGCTGCCTTCATTACTTTGGGCGTTTTGCGTTTCTTCTGTTCTACTTCCCCCCTACGAATGAAAGTTAATGGGTTGGCCTCAAAGAAGGAGGGGGAGCCGGGCTGAGGGGACCGGTCTGAGCCGGTCTGTGGCGCAGGCGCAGTGCGGATAAACAGGAAGCGGGCGGTAGAGGCAGAGGTAGAGGAGACCTAGGGGCTTCCAGAAGAAACAGCGGAAGAGCTGAGATTACCGGGAGGGCAACGGAGGTTAACTGGAAGCCAGAAAACGAGCTTTGGCCCTCTGCTTCTAGGGAACAAGAGCCTGCCGCCTCGCTCTCTGCTTAGGCTTCCGGCTCTGCTTAGGCGGAGGCATTGGCTGACAAAGGGCTTGCGCCGGTGCCGCCGCCCTTCTCATCCGGGCATTCGGGCCCCTGCGGAGAGAGGGGGGAGGGGAAGGAGCAGGAGGGGCGCGCGCTTGCAGCCGAGGCCCTTTCCAGGGCTGCGGGCTTGCAGCCCAACCGACGGAGGCCGAAGAGGACCCTCAGAGGTCGCAGCGGCCGGGGGCAGGAGGATGGTGCAGAAGGACAGCCAGGCGACGCTGGAAGAGCGGGAGAGCGAGCTCAACTCCAACCCTGCCGCCTCCGCGGGGGCGTCGTTGGAGCCGCCAGCAGCTCCG